GCCTTCCCCACCAGAGGGTGTCTGCTGGGTGGGAAGGGGGAAGCCGCGCTCTCCTGGACTTTTGTGGGAGTGGGGGTTGTGTTGTGTGTGTGGTTTTTTTTTTAAGGGGGGTGGGGTGGGTTAGGAGAGAGTCTGTGGTTTCCATGGAGATGAAGCTGAAAGTGCAGGAAATTTAAAGGCTTTGGGTCCTTGCAAAGCAGACAAACTGGTGCCAACGTGCGTGGCTGCTGTTGCTGCTGAGGAGGCTGCTTTGCAAACGGCGGAGAGGAGCGGGAAGAAGAATCGGCAGCAACTTCTTCCACACGCACGGGCAGACAACGAGGAGCAGCAGCAGCAAGCAGAATTTGCAACAAAAAGGGGCATCTCCCTTTCCTGGGGAGGGTGAAAAGAAGCAGCAGCAGCAGCAGCAGAATTTTGGAGCGGCTCCACCAGGAGAAATTTTATAGAGAAGCCTGCAAGAGAGAGTGTTTGCAGGGGGCTTGTTCTCCGGGCTTCTTAGGGGGCTGTCTTTGCTGGTGGTGCGGGGAGCGGAGGTGATCCCCCTTAAAGACAAGCTATTTTGGATATCCCCGTACAAGTTTTCTGATGTATTTGCTTGCACCTTTTTCCCCTGCTGTTTGGTGAACCCAGCCCCCCTCTCCCCCCCCCACCGGTCTCCCAAGGATGGATCATTCCCAGTGCCTTGTGACTATATACGCCTTGGTGGTTCTGCTGGGTCTCCGGCTAGAGCAAGGCGCCTGCCAGCACTATCTGCACATCCGACCGGCTCCCAGCGACAACCTGCCCTTGGTGGATCTAATCGAGCACCCGGACCCTATCTTTGACCCCAAGGAGAAGGATCTTAACGAGACCTTGCTAAGGAACCTCATGGGCGGACACTTCGACCCTAACTTTATGGCTATTTCCTTGCCCGAGGACCGGCTCGGAGTGGACGATCTAGCTGAGCTGGACTTGCTGCTCAGGCAGAGACCCTCGGGAGCGATGCCCAGCGAAATCAAAGGGCTGGAGTTTTACGACGGGCTGCAGCCGGGCAAGAAGCACAGGCTGAGCAAGAAGCTGCGCAGGAAGCTGCAGATGTGGCTCTGGTCCCAGACCTTCTGCCCGGTCCTATACACGTGGAACGATCTCGGCAGCCGCTTTTGGCCCCGGTATGTCAAAGTGGGCAGCTGCTACAGTAAAAGGTCTTGTTCAGTCCCAGAAGGCATGGTTTGCAAACCTGCCAAGTCCGTGCATTTAACGATCCTGAGGTGGAGGTGCCAGCGTCGGGGAGGGCAGAGGTGCACATGGATACCCATCCAGTACCCCATCATTTCGGAGTGCAAGTGCTCCTGCTAGGGCTTGCACTTACCTTTTCTCGCCCCTTCTCCAGCGGACTCACGTGGACCTTTGCTGCAACAAAAATAAAAGACATTTGCTTTCTGGTTAACGTTGTAATGCACTGTAACGTGTAGGAGAATGTATATTGTGTGTATATATGGCACCGTTTTAATATACTATTAAAAGGTCAGTATTATACGTGAAATAATCAGCGTCTACTGTATTTTTAAGACTATTACTCTGATCGTTGCTAATGTATCTTTTTTTTTTTTTTTGGTATTTATATTCCAGAGAGAAGTTGCTTCGCTTTGGCGAAGTAGGGGTTTTGTTGGTTTTTGGTTTTTGTTTTTTTTTTTTAATAAAAGGATTAAAAAATACAAACCAAACTTTTTGATAAGAAAACGTTTTAAAGCTATTTTCCATTATTCGGAAAGCGTGTGTGTGGGTTTTTTTCTTTTCCTTACGGACTTTAGATTTAAAATAAAAAAGGATAAACGCCTAGAGCACAATGTTATTGTAAATAGAGAGAACAGTTTGAATGACTTAATCCTATGTAAATGAAGAGTATCTGCTATTTATTCTTTATATCCTTGTAGTAAAAGTGCAGTGCAGAATTAAAGTCAACCACTAAAACACGAGCCGTTTGGATTCTGTTTGCTTTTTGGTTTGGCCACCTTCGGGGGGGGGCTTTCTTCTCTCCCCTCCCCGTTCTCCGCGCTCAGCAGGACGTTTCGTGGTGGCAGGGGGCGGTGGGAACCTGCTCGGGACTCTGCTAGGAGGGAATCTTTGGCACCTACGCGACGGGAGTGCCCCGGGGATC